TTCATTGTTTTAAATATTATAATTCACTTTTGATGAATCGAAGCAATGCTTCGATTACGATTAAGCTATACTTTTATTTTTATATAAGTACTCGCTCTTCTTCCTTTTCTTTTTCTTTTTTTCATCATCACCACAATTATATTCAATTCAACTTCTTAACCTTAACACCCAACTTCTCAACCTTAACCTCAACACCCAACTTCTTAACCTTAACCTTAACACCCAACTTCAACTTCTTAACCTTAACACCTAATTTCAATTTCTTAACCTTAACACTTAACTTCAACTTCTTAACCTTAATACTTAACTTCTCAACCAACCTTAACACTTAACTACAATTATATTCAACTTAGGTAATTATTTTCCTTTTGATTCTTTGCTTTTTGATTCTTTGCTTTAAGTTAATTATTTTTTTTATTTAATAATGTCGATTCTTTTCTTTTATAACGCTATAGTCGAGGTCAACCCTTTTAGCACCGGTAGCAACAAGCTAATCAACGAGATACTTAGTCGCTATAAAGATTTCGTAGTCGTTTATACTAATAGTAACGTTGTTAATTCAATGTTTACTTGTTATAACGAAGAGGATACCGCTTTGTTTTTAAAACCAATCGGCCTCGATTACGAATAAAAAGGTCGCAAAGGTTTTATCGACGAGTTCGGCATTAAGCATTACGGTGCTAATAAAGTTAGTAATAACATTTATATATTATAATTACTAATTAATTTTTTATTTAAAAAGAGAGCGCTTAAGTCTTTTGTCTCCTCGACCACTTTGTCTTTTTCTTTAACTTAATTAGAAAGCAATTCACTTATAAAGATGTTAAAGTTCGATTGATCTTAAGTGATCTTACTCTTAAGCTTTTCGATAGCGATTATACCGAAGCTAAAAGCATCTTAAAAGAGCTATTAATGCTATACCTTTTTATTATCGATAGCACTTTAGTATACAAACGCTTTACCTTTAAGTTTTCGAATGAAAATAAGTTTAGGTAGAGTAATAAATGCTAAAAGCTAAAAGAGTTATTTGAGTTAAACGAGATTTATCTGAACTATGTTTACAAGCAAGAACTTGGGCTAAAGGCGGAGACCGAGTTGAACGTATTCTACGTAACTGCAAAAAGACGGGTCTTTATTAACTCTTTGTAACTAGTAGACTTGGGCTAAAAAACGGGTCTTTCAAACCCTTAGGCCTTTGTAACTAGTAAATTTGATTACTACTTTGAGTCTTTGATTAGTAAATGTGATTAGTAAATGTAATTAGTAAATGTGATTAATAAATGTGATTAGTAAATGTGATTAGTAAACTTGATTAGTAATTATGCATATGCATATTTTTATATATATAAACCTTATGGAGTAACCTTACGCTTTATAGGGTTTCCTTATGGGGAGGGGCAGAATTTTGTACCTTCCGTGGGTTCCTCCGTAAGGAGGACTTAAAACTCCGTGGGGCCCCATGGGGCCCCATGGAGCAGCCTACTATCGGAGCGTTTACCGGACTGCTTAAAAGCAATGTCGTTAGCTTTGTTATTTCCGGAAGTGCTACGAATCGTTTGATCTTCGAAAGTAGCGAATATATTAAAAAGGTTAAAGTTCGGATTGCTAATCTTTTCGTTGATTTAGCTTTCGTATTAATTAAAGTAGTCGTAAAAGGTTCGCTTTTAAAGCAATAACAGCTCGTCGTTTCGAATGACTTTTGCGAGCTTTAGCGACGCTTAAGTTAATGATCATTTTTCGTTAATAGCTTTTAAGAATGCTTTTGTCGCGAGTGTACTCGTCGTTTCGTAAAGCTCGTTTATCTTCGCTAACTTGTAAAAAGCTCGGTGTTCTTTGATTTAGACCGCTAAAGAAACGCTCTTTTGCTTAGCTACTTGCAAGGATTTATTATAATCTCGTGCTATCGATAGCTTAAAGCTCGAGTTAAATAGACGGTATATTTCTTAAAGCTTCTTTACTAAAAATTAAATAAAGGTATTATCTTTTTTTATAGCCGCTAAGATCGCTTCTTCGAGAATAAAGCTTTTGTAGTGCTTACCAGCACTAAGATCAGGAAGAGATTCTGTGGATTGAATAAAGCTTGGTATATTCTATTTAAAAAGCTCGTCAAGATCTATGTACATATACCTAGGAGCTCCAGTGTGCCAAGGGCGCTATTAAGCGAAGTCACATGACATATCATATATAGCTTAAGTAGAACCATGCCTGTTCCGCACAACACACCCCTTAAGTCAGCAGCGTAGCTGTTGAGCTATAAGCAAATAAAAAAGAAAAAAATAAGTGATTAAGCTTTTTAAACTCGATATAAACAAAAGAGATTGTCATCGCAATTTAAATAAACAAATAGCGATTGTCATTGTTAATTAAGTATCAGTCAAGAATGCAATTCCTTCTTAAGTCGGTCTTATCACGTAGCGAAGGTTTTTAGCGCCGTCTTTATCGCGTTGCTATATAAGTAAGAGCGCGTTCCTTTCTATTATAATAAACACTCAACTTCTATTTATCTATACAATGCTTTTTAAGCAAGTAACTTAATCTAATAAAATCGTTAAGCGCGGCCGAGGCCGTCCAAGAGTAAGTGCTCTTAATAGATTAATATTTTTATGTTGACTATTAAAAGAATCCTCTGTCCGCTTTAGCTATCGCTGCTGCTGCAGCTGCGGCGGCGGCGGCAGCTATACTTCGCATTCTCACCTTCGAACCTTCGCCCTTTCCTTTAGACCTTCTTACCAAGCGCTTGCTTATACCGACGACCGTCAAAGCCTTAAGGTGTATTAAGTGTATTAATAATAGGATCACATCGAGGTCTAATAGAGACTGCTATAATTGCGATACGAGCGTTATACGCTGTCTCCGGTATGCTAAAGGTAGCTATAGCAATTGCACTATTGCTTTTACCGCTGCTAACACCGCCTTCGATAACTTCGTAAGCGTTAAAAACAGTAGTGTTATATAAAAAGTTCGCCGGGGTCTCCGAGATGCTGTGCGACAACAGCTCGCTTTAGATGCTACCCTTTTAAAAGGTGCTGCTGATAGTCCGGGCGGTTTAACGAATAGAAGTAGAGGTTTTAGAAATAGTCCCGGTGGCCTTGCAGGTTTTGCTCTTGCTCTTAAGACTTTCAATTTGAATATAGCCCTTGTTAAATTGAATAGTCTTATAGCAGCGAACCGTAATTCGATAACGCGGAGCGCCTCGAGCATATCACTTTTTCGTAAGTCAAGCTTTTTAACTTACGAAATGATCTAATCTAAATAGCTCTTTTTAATTAGAACTTCCTTTCGGACTTTATGCAAAAGCTTTAATCTGCTGCTATAGCAGCCCTTGCGCTTGCGCCAGCCGCCTTTATTGTTCTCGTCGCCTTCGCTGCTCCCGTCGCCCTCGCAGCTCCCGTCGCTTCCGTCGCACTTATTATCGTCGCCCTCTTTGCATTAATTATTGCGCTTGCCGCTTTTGCGGCAGCGCCCGCCGTTGCTATGACTCTTGCAAAGCGCCGAATTAAAGTAAAAAGATTGCTAAGAGCTTTAGTCGATCTTTTATTATAAAAAGCGAAAAGTAAAAGCGTGTAAGATAAGATAAAATGACGGTTAAGATTGCTAAATAGATGTTTTCTTTTGAATCACGTATAAATGAAAAAAAAATGAAATGTAATAAGTGAATAGCATATGCGTGCTATTAAAGCTTCTCGATTAACGCGCGAGCGTTTTGTAAATTTAAAAGCTTAATAAAGCTTTTAAACTTCTGTCGAATCAAGTTCTTTATAAAACCGTTAGCGTGCATCTTTATAGTAAAAAGATATTAAACCTAAAAGCTCCTTTTGAAATGCTCTTAGCGCAGTTATATATTATGAATATCGACGTAGCGAAGCTTGGTAAAGATACGCTCTTTTTTACTAGCTATAAGCCTGATTGTTTATTGATTATCATAATAGATTACTCAAGGCGCCGCAAAACGAAGGTGTAGCTTTTTGAAAAACCGTTAAAGCGTTATAATCTTTTTTATTATAAAAGCTATGTTAAGAAGCTTCGCTTTAATAGATGATATAGTGACTGTATCTTGCTTTAAAGCTTTCTAAAGGATCGCACCCTCGAACAAAAACATAATATACTTTTAAGAAAATCGCTTTATCTTTTCGTTATCGGCGTAAGAAGCGTTAAAAGCTATTACTAGCTCCGACTTGCTAAACTAGCTATATTAAATACTTTTAAAGCGCGAGCTAAATAGATATCGCAAACACTAGTTTATAGCTCGAAGATGCTTTGCGCTTAGATTAATGCTAAAGTGAAAGAGTTAAGAAGCTGCAAAAGCTATATCTAAGCGTAGCATGATCGCTATATATAACACGGATCCAACCTTCTCTTAATACTCTTTTACTTGCTTTCGCGAAGCTATCCTTTCATTTTTAATTAAGTTATAAAACGGTAATAAAGTTGCTAAGCAGCGTCCGTCCGTAAGTTCGAATTTCTTAGCTATTTTTTTAATATAAGCGTCGTGCATAAGCGTTAGCGTTCTTCGCTAACGGTCTCGAGCGACTTTCATATTAAGAAACTATTTAATATCTCTTATCGCTTCGATCTTATACGCTTTATTAAGACCGTCAATAATCTCTTACGCTTTAAAAAGATTAAAATGATAGTATATAACTTAAATATCGTTTACGTAAAACGCTATAAAGACCGTCTTATTTAGATTCGTAAAAATACACGGTTCTTTATCGAATAGCGTAAGCTTTAATTTGTCGAATGTTCTTGTAAAATCGAAATACTATAAAGCTAGCGAGTCTTTGAGTCTATATAAAGCTTTATCGACCTCTACGAGCATACCTTTTTGCTTAAAACCGTCAAGGAAATAATACGTGATTAAGACGCTGTCCGTATGTCTTATAACGTTAATAAAAGCGTTAACGACGTCGAACTGTTTTACTTTCAAATCAAATTCGGCTGCTATAGCTATTATTATTTTAAACGATCTAGCTGCTAGCGTAGCAGCGTAAGTTGAATAAATAATAGATTCGTCTTAGAAGTCGCTTTTAACTACAATTCTCGATCTAAACCTTACGATCTCTTCGGACGAGCCAGTCTTGTATATAAACACTTACTTAAAAGGTATAAGTTTTGATTTAGCTTCGCTTTCGAAAATCACTTTCTAGCAATTCTTTTTCTTTAGATTATTCAGCTTTATAAGAGCTCCGTCTTTAAACTCTTTGCCGTATAAGTATCGTTGTAGCTCTTTTTAATAAGTAAAAGGTTTTAAATGTTTTCGTTTTTACGAATTGAGCTGTTTTAATAATAGCTTAAACGAGGTAGCAGCTGTTATAATAGCGTGCAATATCTCGTAATCTTTATTATCTTCGCGCATAAGTTCGCTATTAGCTTAAAAAGTCGACATAAAATCTAAGACGCGCGAATAGCGGTTCGAATTAGCGCGAGAGTTGTTTAAAAGAAGCTCATTAACACTTGCGTATATTTTCGCGCGTTTTTTAGTGCGACTATTAATAAGTGAATGCTTTTTACTAAAATCGGAATTTTATTTAAAGTGTTTATAGTTTAATTTCTTATTATTAATGCTCGCTTTAAAAAGGTTTAAAAGCTCCTTTTTGATTGTTCGGTTTGAATCTCCGCCGGTTGTTAATATAAAAGCTTCCGTTAGTCGGCTTATAGCTTGGCCTTTCGGGCCTCGGCTTTAAATAACAACCTGAAAGTATAATTTGCGCGCTCTTTTATTAAGGCCAAGTTTTTGCCCGTCTACGGTGCTCTTCTTTGCTTCTGGCAGTCTTGGGGCACCTTCGCCTTTGCTTTTAACTAAAGAGCTAGCGAGACGTTCAACGGTATAGTTCGAATCGTCAAGGTTTATTAGATCGTCTTGTAAAGCAGTTGCTTTTAATATAGACGTATTTATAAAGTTTTTAATTAAAGTTAAAGCTCTTAACGTTTGTGCATCGCTCGGATTAAATAAAGTCGCATTCCTTAAGCTTTAATTAGATCTTTTTAAGTCAACTTTTATAAGGTCTAACGGCTGCTCACCTTTTATATTAGCTGTATTCGTCTCTTTTAAGCGATCTTCTATAACGTTTTCTATATCAGACAAAGCGTCCTTTGTTTAATTAAAGTCTTTAATATCTTTTAGTTTAATAACGATTCTCTTAATCTCGTTAATCGATTAACCGATCGATTTTTTTTCGTTTTTAAAATAGAATTGAGTCTTATCGAACGTTACGTTGCGTATAATAATCACTTTATAAAGCACAAGAACATAGACCTTGTATATATTAGAAGCTACATATCTAACCAAGTAGCCTATATGTCCTTTTAGTTTGACCTTAAAAGCTCTCTTATTACGAAGAGCTTCTCGGTCTTTAATCATTAAGTACGCACGAGCGTTATACGTAACCAAACCGCCATAATCTAGTCTTAAGTCGGTATCGATCCGTATAAAGATCGCCGGATCGTATTACTTAAAATATTACTTAAACCAAAGCTATAACACTTTATTCGGACTCTTCATAAAGCTTTTAGCTCTCGGTGTTATGTTGTAAAAGTAAATAACGGCTAGTATAGTTTTAAGCCAAAGCTTTTTTAAAAGCCTTGCTCTTATTTTCATTTTAATAAACCGTTCTATCACCTTTCTTTTAGCCCTTTCAGCTCTTTTATTAGGTTCGTAATTAAAAGATAATAAAAGCTTTAACTCGATCTTAACCTCTTTCGCTTATCTTTGATATTCGATAGAGCCGATAACGTTGATTGCGATTACCGAAGAATCGTTATTATAACGCATAATAGCTATTGAAAGACCGTATTTGCGTCTCGTTTATGCTTTAAATTCCTTTAGCACTTTCATAACCGTTAATTGTAACTTGTCCTTTAGTATAAAGCCGAATAGCTTTTCATTGTATTCATCTTTAATTATTAATAATTATTTGCTTTCGTCAAAACCGTTAAAAAAGTCGAATAGATCTTAAGCGATTTTATAAAATAGCTTAGCTGCTTTATTATTTAACGTGCGGCGAGATATGACTTATTAAGCGTGCGTAATAACATATGCTTTACATTCAACCTTAGTAATTCCTTTAAGTCTTACCTTTTTAGCGTTATAAGTTAGCGCTTCGAGCGCTTCTTTGCTTAGATAACTTGTTCGTAAATACTAAAGTACCGATGAATTTTCTTTTAAAGCTCGGAAAACATTGCTCTTTTAGAATTTATAGCGTGTTTGCAAGCGCTTTTAAGTTATAGAAAACATTATTAAACAAAAAGAGCTACGAATCAATTAAAGCAAAGAATAGTTGAATAGCTTGTATTTAAAAAACGTAAAATTGAACTTCTTTTTTAACTTTCTTAATACAACGCTTTCTTTAATCTTTTCATAGCGGAAAGTTGCGTTATATCCCGAGTACTATACGTTAGCTTTGCTTAAAAAAGCTTTCGAGATGATATTAATATTAAACCTTTTAACGATAGCGACGTTTTTTAACTTCAAATCCTTTGTCTTAGCTTTATTTGGTCCGTTCAAAGCTCTTTTAAAGACTTTAGTACTTCGCCCGACGACTAAAAGACTACTCGTTTTAGCTTCGATAAAGTCGGTTAAACGAAAGCGTTAAATTGACCTTAGCTTTAAAAGATTTTCATCGTTAACAAAGTAAATAGCGCCGCAATTATCGAAAAGAGTGCTATTGAACAGCTAGTGCTTATTGTTAGCCGTGTTATAAAGATCGTTAAGAGCAAGATTATCGAGCGTACTAAAAAGCTCGGGATCGATAATAATTGCTAATACTTTTTTAAAGTATTTTGACTTATCGCTATCGTTCGATTGCTTTTTCTTACTTTTTAAGACGATCTTATCGACTTAAATCTATGCTTAACTTTCTTTCGTAATCTTTTCTCGAAGCGCTTTAAACTTAAGCTTTTAAAGCCTTTTTTTTATAACGACGATATCATCTCGGTTCGGCTTTGCGAATCTACTTTCGTTAAAACCGTTAAAGCAATAACGAAAGATCTTACATTTAATTGCGTCTTAATAGTAGTTTCTTTTTTTAAAGCACGGGCATTTAAAACCTTTAGCAAGTCCTTTAGAGCTATCGGAGCGTTTACCGGATTGCTTAAAAGTAATGTCGTTAGCCTTATCACTTTTAAAAGTGCTGCGAGTAGTTTAATCTCCGAAAGTAACGAATACGCTAAAAAAGTTAAAGTTCGGATTGCTAGTCTTCTCTTCGACTTAGCTTTCGTATCAGTTAAAATAATCGTAAAAGGTGCGCTTTTAAAGCAATAACAGCTCGTCGTTTCGAATGACTTTTGCGAGCTCTAGCGACGCTCAAGTTAATAACTATTTTTCGCTAATAGCTTTTAAGAATGCCTTTATCGCGAGTATACCCGTCGTTTCGTAAAAGTCGTTCATCTTCGCTAACTTATAAATAACTCGGTATTCTTTAATTTATACCGCTAGAAAGACGCTCCTTTGCTTAGCTGTTTGCAAAGATTTATTATAATTTCGTGCTATCGACAGCTTAAAGCTCGAGTCGGATAGACGGTATATTTCTTAAAGCTTTTTTACT